CCAGTGTCCTTTCCTGGGGTCATAAGGCCATCACTCACCCAGTGTCCTTTCCTGGGTTCTGATACTATAACGAAATACTAGAACCTGCTTACTTACAAGGCAAAGGGGTTAACTTAGCTCAGTTCCAGAGATCCAAGCATAGGACACTGGCATCAGTTCATCTCTGATGAGGATATGTGGCATCACAGTGGTGGTAAAGTTGTGAGAGGAACAGCTCATGCTGCAAAACAGGAGCCAAAGAGGAGGGCAGAAAGCAACCAGGCTTTTCTTTAGTAACAGCCCTCTTGTGAGAACAACCAGGGAGCTGTAAGAACTGCATTAGTCCCTTCTGAGGGCAGTTCCTTAACATAAGGACTCCTCCAAGGCCATAGTTCTTAAAGGTTTCACTGCCTCTTCTACTACATACAAGGACCCAGCCTAGAGAGCACATGCACCCTGAGGGGACAAAGCACCACCAAACTGTTACTCAGTGCCATTAGCATCATGCCCCAGTGTGTGTTTGTATTCTGGTTAGCTAAGGATAGCAGTGAGCAGAGAATGCAGGAACTGCTTTCCCGCTGAGGCCTTGCTTTTTTTCTAAGGCCAGCCTTTCATAACCTCCTGTGGGCCTGACTACCTCCCAACCACGGCAGCATGGCTAAGTGTGTCCATTCTTACACTGATGTGTGTAGGTCATCTGTAAGATGCGGGACAGGGTTTCTGCCTTTAGTGGTTGTGAAAGCCTTGCTTCTGAGGCATTGCCAGGACCTAACTGGTAGGGGTCTGTAGCAACTAGTTTTATATCAACTTGATAAAACCTATAGTTATCTGAAAGGAGTTAACCTCAATTGAGAAAAAGCCTCTATAAGATCTGGCTTTACGGCATTTTCTTAATTAGTAATTGATGGGGGAGGACCCAACCCATTGTGGGTGGTGCCAGCCCTGGGCTTGTGGTCCTGGGTTCTGCAAGAAAGCAGGCTGGGAAAGCTATGGGGAGCAAGTCAGTAAGCAGCACTCTTCCATAGCCTCTGCATCAGCTCCTGCCATGAGGTTCCTGCCCCGCTCTAGTTCCTGCCCTCATTGCCTTTGATGATGAACTATTAATATGGAGCTGGGAGTGAAATAAAGCCTTCTTTCCCCAAGTTACATTTGGTCATATTGTCTTATCTCATTGATAGTAACTCTAAGACAGTCCATGCTTTGGGGACAGTGTTTGGAGGAACCTGGCTCTTTGTGAAGCCCAGTTGTTTTTAGTACTTTGCCCTGCACCTAGAGGCTGCCTGGTCTATACAGGGAAAGTTCTGCTGGGTCTGGGTGTAAGTGGAATGGCACCCAGGTGAGGATGGGAGCTCTAGGAGCTTGATGGCTCAGTTCCTCATCTCTCTTTTAACCTCTTCACTGTAGAGACTGGCACTCACCTCTGGAGCCATGTGTTTCTTAATTTGTACTCCCCATATGTATGAACTCTCTTTTCTTCCTGGGTATTGGGGTGTGAAGATCCCCAAATGTGCACATATACCTGACACAGCTGTTAACTCTTTGAATCATCACAATTATTACCATCCTTGTCACCATCATTATTCTCTTTTTAAAAAAGTTACTCATTTTATGCACATGGGTACTTTTCCTGCATGTGTGTCTGTACATCATGTTTATGCCTGGTGCCCCTATAGGTCAGAAGAGGGTATTGAGTTACCTGGAACTGGAGTTGCAAATGGTTGTGAACTGCTGTCTGGGTGCTGGACATTGAACCCAGGTCCTCTGTCTAAAAGAGCAATAAGTGTTGTTAACCACAGAGCTTTCTCTCTGGCCCCTTATTTGTTTTCTTCTCGAAGAGTGGACTGTGGAATCCTACCATAATAGAACTGATCCTTTGCTTGAGGCTTCCCTGACAGCCTGTGCTTGTGTTGTACAGAGCGAGTCCATCGCCATCTGGACGGGCACGAAGTGCGATACCTGCAGTTTGCCTTCCGCTGGATGAACAACCTGCTGATGAGGGAACTGCCCCTGCGTTGCACCATCCGTCTATGGGACACCTACCAGGTGAGCCCCCCACCTTATGGCCCTGCCCCCACTTTGCCTCCCCCTATATTGGATTCTCTGCAGAGTATCCTTTCCATGCAACAAGGTCTTTAAAAAGTCTAGCCCGATGTTCCTGCCATCTGACTATATGTTGAACAGGCAAGAGGACTTTATAAGGTTCTCTTTGTCACCTGATTACACTCCTGCTGGTTGGTGACAGTCTCTCCCATTCTCACTGGCAATTTGCATTTTAAGCATTTTAAGCAAGAGTCAAACTGTAAGTATGGCCGAGTAATCATGTACCCGCTCTGTACATCCAAGCAACTCTTCCAGAAAATTCACACTCGGGACTCACATGTTGTCTATGTTCTGAGTTACTTACAATAAAGATTTAAAGAAATCCTCAGACAGATGCAGCACAATATGAAATTTTCTACTCTTCACCAATTTTGATTAAATTCATGTCTTCAGGAGATTGAGTTTTCTGGAAGAAGCTGCCTTGGCTCCCTTGAGTGTCCATTGCTTATTCTAGCCTCTTCATTTTGTGTGTGAGGCCTGCTGAAGCTGGCCTATGCTATGGGGGGTAGGTACTGGCTTTTAGCAGCAGCTCTAGGCACCATGGCCTGGGGTGAGGCATCAGATCTCCACAGAGAGCTGGGAAGGAAGCACCAGGTGAGTTTTCTTCCTTACAGTAGAAGAGTCAGGTCTTCTCTGCTGTGAGAGCCCTTCTTGGGCTGTGTACCAGGGCTTTGCAAAGAGGGCACTGCAGTGGTGCTGGGGGCAGGTCTAGAAGACAGGGCTCCAGGTAACAGGTTTTTAGCACAAGGTGGCATGTGTCCAGGCTTTGGATGGGCTCAGCATTAGAGCATTGTACATGTGCATATAGAGATTGGCAGAGGTAGGGCTCTTGCACAGCAAGACTAAGTCTTTAGGGTGTCTTTGGTTTAGCAATTCACAGGACGGTGTTCTAGATGCTGCATCTTTCTCTCAGACCAGGGTGCTGTTGGGCCCCTGTGTCAACTATCTCCACCTGAGCTTGGAACCTCCTTGAATGATAGCATCACCCTTTGTTCTAGGTGCTGATGGTGTATTGTGTACCCCACACTGGATATGTGGGTTTTGTGGATATCTGTTTTGTTTTTTCTCAAATACCTATTATGATGGTCAATGCTGTCAACTCGAAAGGCTCTAAAGTTACCTAGAGGATAGCCTCTGGGCCTACTTGTGAGAATATTTGCATTAGGTTAGCTTCTGGGCAGTCTATGAGGGCATATGTAGGTTAGGTTGAGTTTGGAAGACTCACCCCAACTGACAGACTAAATGAAGAGGAGAAGGGGATCTGAGCCTCAGCATCCATTGCTCTCTGCTTCCTGACTGCAGATGTCATGTGACTAGCTGCTTCCCGCTCCTGCCACTAAGACTTCCCCAGCATGGTGGGCTGTCTCCTTAAACTTTGAGCAAGAATAGACCCTCCCTCCCTAAATCTGCTTTTGTCAGGTGTTTGGCTGAGGCAGCAAAAAGCCCATGATATCAAAATAGCCCTTCTGTCTGCTCTGCCTCCTGTGTGCTGTGGTACCATCCATCATGGAGGCCTATATGGTAATGTTCTGTGGGCTGTGTCACTTGGTGCTTTTCATGGCAGAACATGTTCCTGATTCATAGAGTTTCTATTCAGGACTTGGCAGCTACAGAATTTCAATTCAGTAATATTAGCTGGGAAGTAAAGCCTTACTTGGAGCTGTTTGGCTAAAGTAGCTGTCAGTCGAGTGCATCGATTGGCTCCCTGCTGGATGACAGGAAACAAAACCTAATATCCTGTAAATTGCAAATGCTCTCATTCCCGTGATTGCTTTGGCCATTCATGACCCAGGCCCTGCTCATTAAGCTCAGAGTTCCTTGTAATTCTGTCCCATTACAAATAAAGCAGGTATAGAGTCAATCACACCTTGAACAGACAGAAGATGGATCAGCTTGCCAGTGTCCCGCACTATTTCTCTGAAGTGCTCAGCTGTCATTCAAACTTTGAGTATACTTATGACCTCTTCATTGTATTAATTTTCCTGTAATTTAATTTTGTCATATATCAACTCATTTGTACCATGTGCTCATTCTTGAACTGACAAGACCCTGGTCATAAAGCTTTTCCCACTTGAAAATCAGAGTGCTTCCATTTTTCAAGACTGAGTAGCCATGGGATTGTAGTACCTTTTCTGGCATGGGAAGCACACTGCCATCCTCAGACAACAATTGAGCAGCCACTCTCTGCAGCTGGGTGTCTATTGGCTGGGCCATCCTTATAGTGTGGCTTAAGATCCTCTTGGGACACATGTCGACCCTGCCCCAGGCCCTGGATGAGACTATGGCCAGGAAATGGATGAAGTGAATTGTCTTAGGATGGCACAAGCATGGGGCAGGAAGATGTGTGTACTCTCAGGATTTTCTGTGGTCTATCATAGCAGCTGGCACCAGATGTGAGAGACATGGGTTGGGTAGGTGGTCCACACTCCTAAAAGATTTTCAGCCTGTGAGAGCCTCTTTTGAGGTACTCCATAGAGCATGATCCAGACTTGCCAGAAGTACCCCCTTCAGACTAAGCCCTTCCCATAAGAGCAATTCTGGAATTTGTCCTTGGTTGCTGGGCTGCAGCTGTGGAGTTCAGTTAATCCAGCCCCAGGCCATTGTCCTCACCAGCTCAGCCATCCTATCTTGTCCTCGAAACTTCAGACATCCATCTTGTTTTACTCTTCCCTGCTCTGTAGGCTGCTCTTCCTCATGGAGGACACATTGCTTTATGCATGCACAAAAGGCGGTGTGTTTGGATGGTCATCTGATACAGAATGGCCTGTTCTGCTGCTGGGAGTGTGTCCTCTCACAGCTGATCCTTTCTCACATTTTAGGTGGACTATCTCCATCTTATTTATTGTCCTCACTGCCATTTTCGCCGTCCCAGGGAGAGGTGGATTGGAAGGTAGCTGGAGTCAGGACTGCCTTGCACTTAGCAATATCCTGGTACTACTTAGGAAAGAGTCTTGGAGATCCATGAGCGACTTAGTTCACACATATTATTGAATACTTTCCTGATCCCCAGTCCTTGGGACTATTGCAGACAGGGCTCATGTGCCAGTGAGAGCACCTAGCACAAACCAGATGCTATGTCACTGCCCTTGTCTCAGGTGTTAGGAACAATGCTGTGGAAAGACCTGTAGAGCCAAGCAGTTCTCATAGGAAGGTAGGCAACAGAGGAAAAGTGGCTTTGAGTTGTGGTCTGTGGACTTAGGTCACAACAGGCTATCTTTGAAGAACATTTTATTTTGGATGAGCTTGGTGAGAGTGGAGCTGATGAAGTAAGTATTCTAGGGAGTGGTGAGGTCAGTACCTAGATAGGATTGCTAAAAAGGCTTGTGGGATGGGGTCACTCACGTTTGGACATTAGTCATGTGTCAGTAGTAAGAAACTGTAGGATATGCAGAGTGGGTGCTTCCCAGAGTCAGAACCCTGTCCATCTGAATGTGCTTCTGTGTTCCAGATTCCTTGTTCAAAAGCTGTGCTCAGGGGTTGGAGACAAGTCTAGGGGTACAGGAGGCTTCTAGAATGGTCTCTCCTTTGGTGTGGACTAGACCTGAGACTGCTTCCAGCAGACAGAGAGCACACTTTGTAGTTGAGACTTCTCTGTTTGTACTCACACTGGCTTATAAGTTGCTCCTTAGAGCCTCCCACAGGGTGAAGAATTGTGTTCTTAGCTACCTGGAGTCCTAGGCCACCATCAGCCATGTGAGTGGGCTAGAAGACAGAGAGGGCCTTCCACAGTCCATCTTTGAGAGACTCCAGTCCTTGCTGACACTTCCACTGAAGCTATGAAAAGCCCCGAAGGCTTAATGGCAGATTCCTGTCCCTGGGAACTGTGGAGTCACCATTGCTTACACTACAGAGTTTCTGTGATTCACATAGCAGTGGGTAGTTACATGTTAGGATTTTGTTGTCGCAGGTATTTCAAGTAGCAGTTGGCACTAAGACTGGGCAGGGTAGCCTGGAGCATGGGATGAAGAATTCTCAGGTCTTATGTATGTGGGCATCCTCTTAGTCCTTAGAGGGGTGCCCCAAGGACATCTGGGCCTAGCTGGAGCCATTCTGGGGCACATTCAAGGCAGATGTAAGGAGGGTCAAGCAGTGAGGCATGGGAGGGTGAAGGTCTAAGCTGAGGCTCTGCCCCAGATACTTGTTTGTAGTGAGCATGGAGGCTTCTCCAATGATTTTGAAGGAAAGTGATTTTGGCAGAGCTTGGAGTGGGGTGTGGGAGGTGGGAGATTCTCAGAAGTCACTTTACAGTGGGTTCGGCCTGTCAGTATCAGGCCATGAAGTTTGATTAAGTTTTTCCTAAGCTTTTTCTGAGCTCCCAGGAGGCCTGTCTGCTGTTGACATCCATCCATCCCCCAGTCTTCCCATTGTCATCTCTAACATGATGCCTGTTCCGTGGAGAGCCTGTATGAGTACATGGAACAACATCATGGTATCGGAGGAAGCATCCCTACCCAGGAGCTCATAGCTGGCCTGGGAAGGGTATACGTGACAGAATCAGCCATGCATATGCTGATGACCAAGGCAGGCACTGGCATCTTGGGCAGGCACTTCATCAGTCAAGGGAGTTGAGCAGCACACAGAATGTGGTTCTAAGGACAGGGACCTCGTGCTCAGTCTGCCACACAGAATAGGTCCAAGAAGGTGATTGGGGTGGTTTGTAGTGGGCCAGTGGTACCTTGCATGGAGTCCAGAGGCAGGTAGTCACAACTGACTTGGCCTGAGGTATGACCATGTGTATCAGGGCACCTGGGGTCCAGGGTTGAAGACAGGCTCCTAACCTGCTCCATCCTTTGTTGTGCCAGGCTGACAGCCATCAGTGACTCCTGGACCTCCTGATGCCACAGTACTGATTCTGGACTTAGGTGGCATTGGAACTGATGGATTGGGTTAATCTAATAAGCCTCAGGAAGCAGGTCTCCTTACAATACAGTTTTTTGTAAGCC